CAACATCCTACTTGTGTGCCTTGACACATGGTAGGAACCATCAGAGCAGGCCCTCTCCTCCTCATTGCTGGCTCTTCCTAGCTCCCTCCCACTCTGCACTTCAAGGGAGGTTTGTTCCTGCTCTAGACTGTGCACAGCCCCTGTCACAGGTCAGAACACACATCTCCTTTGTTGACAGGAAGTTCCTCAGGACAGACTCTACTCCTTATTCTACACCAACTCTCATGTCCCGTATTCCTGTCTTGAAATTGTTTGCCAATTAGTCTCCTTTATCTCCTTCACCCACCTCCATTCTCCAGAGGATTTACACAGGTCTTGCTGTTTTGTCCATAAGGCAGTCACAGAGTAAGTTGGAGGGTTAAAGTGACCAAGATGATGAGCAGCCGTGATTGGTATGAAGTCATTTCTGGTGGTAGAGGCTGCTGTTTTCCATGCAGTGTGAGCGGTCCTACAAGCACAACCAAAGCTAGGAAGGTAGAGGGTCATGGGGTACATATGCTATATGACCCCCAATTGTCCCACAACAGTTCTGAAGCTGAATTGAGCTGAAAGAGATGCAGATTGGTAGCTCAGACCCAATAGCTGGAGGATTATTGCAGGCAGGAGCCTGTTGCTCTGTGTTGGAGGGAGCTGGCACTCTGGCGATCTGTCTTGGGTCCCTTCCGTGGCTCCTCACCAGGTCTGGAATTCTATTGGGCCATTTCAGTTTCCACACTTCAAAGCAGAAAGAAACATGAAAGCACCTCTTTTAGTGACTTTGTCAGATAAAAGTTCTGTGCCATATTCCTCCCCTGATTTCTCCTTTCTGAACCTTTGCTCCATTTATCCAAACTCTCCTCCCTTCCTTCCCATGCTGTGGTCCCGATGCTATGCCACCTGCTTTTGCTTCAGCCTTCTAGGACTGTACATGAACAGGAAGCTGTGAATTTGACATCTAATGTACCACATATCTGAAATTCTGGGCCCTCTGAGTGGGTACAACTTTTCATTTAAAATGGATATTGAAATAGTATATTGAAAATACAATGTAGGAATTCATCTGTGTGGCCCCACCAACTGGTCTCCATGTAGGTCTCTACTGTCCCCTCTTTTCCTTGAACCCCTGATGCAAGGGTTCAGGGCTCACCTTGGGGTGGGCAGGCAGCAGCAGCAGCAGCAGCAGCACAGTGCTCTCAGTACATGGGAAATTTGCTTCCTCACCAGTTTCCAGATCCTGAGTGGCCTGGATCTAGATGTCATGGGTGCCACCTGGGGCTGGTCACTGGGAATGTCTGACCCCTGGGATGAATCTTCTTCACAGAAGCCCAGGTTCAGAAATCCCGTGGGTGTAGCCTCCAAGACTGATTCGGGAGAGGAGAGATTGCCAGGCAGGGGGTCAACAGAATTCCTGTTGACTTCAGTGTCCTCTGTAGCAGTGTTGATGACATCAGCCACAAGAGCATCTCTTTCTGGGACTGTGTTGTCTGAACCGGGCATCGCCTCCAGGAAGGAGAGTCTGTTAGGCATGGTGTAGCTTCTATATCCTTTACCTCTTTCTTCCACACCCTCCAAGTTAACGTGACTCTTCCCAGCTTGTGTACTGGTTGTAAATGCTGGTTCACTGGCTCTCTTCGTCAAGGGGAGAGGGAGGCAAACAGGACCTGGAGGGCTGCTAGTTAACCAGGGCATCTGATCTTGCTGATGGCTGTCTCCTCCACTCAGCTGATATTTGAGAATGTTGCATGTAGCCATTACATGATTATCTTCTCGCCTGTGCGTTAGGGATGAAACAATCTCCTCACAGGTATAGCCGATGGTGCACATGGTCTCCACGACCCTGGGCAGGATTTCTTTGGTGGCAGGCAGTACATGTTCTTGAATGGGGCCTAGCCATGGTCGTTCCACAAGCTGACAGATTGTGAATCGGTACCAGATAGGGACCATGAGTAGTCGGGCAATGATGATGTGACAGGGTTTTGATAGATGGTAAGGAATGGGACACATTGTGGTGGTGATGACCCTGTGCATACCTTCAAGGGTTTCTTCCATGTATGGAAAGTGCCCTGTGACCAGGACATACAGGACGATACCCAAGCTCCACA